TCCCATGGCGGGGCGGGGGGGCTGGCCGCTCTCCATCCCCATCGCCCCGTCTTATCGTCCTGCCTGGGAACGGCCACATCTGCCCATCGTGTGCCAGCGCCACAGCATGGTCCCAACCTGGGGACAGGCAGGGTCCCTCTCGGGGGACGGCGGCCAGGCAGCCCCCCCCCAGGCCACGCCGCTATCCGTGGGGTGCTGGGCAGCCCAACTGCACCCCAACCTCCAGCACCAGCTGCCTCAGACATGCCCCCCCCTGCCTGCTGCCCCCACACCACCGCAGGGCCAAGGTCCCCTTATCTCACCCTCCCCACAGCCAAGGCCCACGGGTGCCCCCGGTGCCGCAGAGTGTTGGGGGGGCAGCCCCTGGGGGGACGTTGAAGACCTTCGATAACGCCAATCCACACACCTGGAGCAGGCCCCCACTGCTTCCCACGCTGCCACCCCGGCACCGCCGTGGCAGGGGCCAGCTCCAGCAGCAGCGATGGGGTGGCCACAGCCAGACCCCGCTCCCCAGGTTCCTTCCCCCCACGGCTGTGCCTCAGCCCCCTCCACAAGCACCCAGCACACTTACGAAATATAATATTTATTTGGGATTAAAATAAAAAAACAAAACAGACCCCGCCGGTACCGCTGCGCGGGGGACACTGCGGGACAGACACGCGTCTTTACAGCACCCACAAACACGGGAGCCTCAACTGACCAACGAGAACCACTCAAGGCTACAACACTCACCCTCCTGGGCTGAACACAACATGAAAAAACATAACGCAGCTTCGCGAGCCAGCAGCTGCCTTTCTGTACGTTATTTTTTTTTTACCAAAATAGAGATACAGGCAAGCGGGTGCAGCGCTGCTCAGCCCCTCGGGGGCTGCACACCAGTGGGATGGGCTCCCACCCCCCGAGCACTGCACAGACCCCAGGCGCACACACACACACACACACACACATACACACACGCAGCCCCTCCGCTGGCACCCAGCCCTCGCCACGCTCGCCCGCAGCACGCCCGGCAGCCATGCAGATGGGCACCGAGCTGGCGTGGCCACTGAGACACCCGCCTGGGCAAGTTGCCACCCTGCAGACCTCACAGCTCACGCACAACACACGACAGCACGGGGACAGGCTCGTCGGGCACGGCTGCCCTGGGCCTCGGCAGCAGCAGCCACGGCTGCAGGCAGGGGACAGGGTGCTGCTGCCTGTGGCTTGGCGGGGGGGCACGAAGAACACCTACAGACACCACAGTAAGGGGAGGGGGGTCAGGGCCACCCGGGCCAAGCCTGGACCAGGAGCCCAGCAGTGGCCCAGCCTTTGGGGAGTCACAGGTGACGTGCAGCTTGGGTATCGCTCCCGGCACGGTCGGCACGTGGCACACACAGCACTGCCGGCCCGGGCACCACAGACCAGTCCTGCCCGGCCCCTGTCACTGCTTGAAAGTGGACTGCAGCTCCTTGAACGCCGCCTTCCTCTGCTTCAGCTCCTCCGCCTGCTTCTTCTTCTCCTCCTGCTCCGCCTTGATCTCCTCCTCAAAGCGGCTGGCATCATGGATGGCTTGCACCTGCGGGCAGTGGCACAGCTGGCTGGGTCTCCCGAGACCCCCACCAAGCCCTGCTGCCCACCCCAACATCTCCGCCCTCCTGCCCACCCATCATCCGCAGTGGCGGGACCTCTTGCGCCACAGCACTTGCCTCACCTTGGCCTCAAAGAAGTTCTTGGCGCCTTTCACCCCCTCTGTGGAGACGTCAATCTCGGAGAGCCGGGCCAGGGCGTGCAACCCGCTGTCCTCCTGCAGCTCCCCTGCTGCTGCCTTGCGGAAAATCAGCAGGAACTGCGAAGGGAGACTTTGGCATCAGCTCCCCCAAGACCTCCAAGCCATCACAACTCTCTTACCACTTGGCTGAGGCGAGCAGCAGCCGGGGACACCTCCCTGCCAGCATGGGGCCCCCCCAGCCCCTCACCTCCCGAAAGCTGAGCTTGCTGTCCAGGTCTTCATCCACTTCCTTGATCATGTTCTTCAGGCCCAGGTGTGTCTGCGGTGCCCCCAGCTTCTCCATCATCAGCTTCAGCTCCATCAGGTCGATGAAGCCATCCTTTCCTGCATCGTACCTGCAGGATGGAGGCACGGTCCCGTCAAATCACCATGGGGCAGGCAGAGAGTACACAGCCCCCCCCACCAGCCCCCCCAGCACCTCTGCGTGTGTCCAACAGCCGGTGCCCACGCTGGCCTGGCAGCAAGGAGGGAACAGCGAGGACCTGGGCACCGGCAATCTCAGGCAGCCTGCCAGACCACGGGAAGCTGCCGGTGACCCGCTAACAGCTCCCCAGAGCATCACCCGGGATTGCTTCTGCTTCCGTGCGGCACTTGGCAGGAGAAACCCCCAGGACGCTGCCAAACCTGCTGCTGATCCCTGGGCCGGGAGCCTGAGCACACGCTCCCCTTGACTGCCGCAAGGGTAACAAACAGGCCACCGTGCTAAGCTCACGCAGGACCACTCCCTCATCACCCCTTGGCCACGACACACCTTCCTCTTGGTGGAGCCAGCAGCTTGCCCAGCTCCCGGGGGTTTGGCATCGCGCAGGCACTCCCGGCAGCCCCTGCCTGTTGGGCTGTGGGGATCACAAGCCCACCTCGAGCAGCCACCACCACCTCCCTATGACACCCCCAGGTGACAGCTCCCACCTGCCCAGAGCCGCTCAGCATCCGTGCTCCAGCCTCAGCCAGACGCCCGGACTTGGCTAAGAGATGAGGGTGCATCTCTGTTCATGGACCCCAGGCAGGGACACCCCCCTCAGAGCCCCACCTGCCACCATGCTGCCGTCCCATCCAGCCTCCCACCCACTGCCCTGCCTACACGGAGCTGGCAGCTCACCCTGCCTGCTCCACCGTGGGCTGTGCCAGTGGCAGTCTGCCTCTGCCCCGGAGCCCTTGGGCACAGCACAGCGGCTCTCGCTGGGGCCCCAGCACAGCTCTGCACCTCCCAAGGCTCCATGCTGCAGGCAGCTGCTCTCCCCACAGTGTCCCTGCACCGCTCACTGCTGTCCCCTTGCCCCATCACCATTCCTGACCACGACACGAAGGCCCCACGGCACGTCCCAGCGCAATGCAGAAGTAGGTGAGCAGCTACCCAGCTGAAACTATTGAGAATTTTTTTTTTTTTTTGGTGGCTTGTCTTTTCTGTGCCTGCAGGCGCTGCAGCAGCCACGCAGAGCACCAGGCTCACCACGCTCACTGTGCTGCAGGTCCATGACTCATTTGTACCTTCTCTGCTGTGGTCTGTTCTGTCCGTGTCACAAGCGGTGTCTTTCCACTCTCCCACACTGCTGGGGGCCCCAAAACAGGGCTGGCCCTGCTCACCCCCTCCTGCTGCTGCTGTCACCCCAGGAGCCAGGCTGAGCGAGCAGACCCCACGCGCTTTCTGCCTCCAAGACCCCTCCTGAGCATCACGCAGAGTCTCTCTGCAAGGGGCACATTTGCTAGCACAGCCCTGCCACTTCGCCCCATGCAAGCCACCCCCAACTGCAGGGCGCTTCCTCGCTCTCGCTGCCCTCCTCTCTGGTTTTCAGGGCTGCAGGCATCCCCCTGCTTCTCCCAGGGAAGTTCCCAGAGGGCAACATCTCCCCTGTAGAGAGCAAAACCCTTCCATGTGTTGCTTTACCCCGTACAGCCGGATCGTGCCATCACGAGGACAGCAGTGGTGACCAGGGCAGCGCGGCAGGCCTTCTCTTAACAGTACATCCTTTCTTTGGGGAGAACCCCCCCCGCCTCCCCGAGCCCCAGCGCTGCTCCTTTCGCTGCAGCGAGACGCTGCAGGTGTCAGAGCAAACACGTCTGCTTCGCGCGCCCGGCTGCCTCGCCTGCGCCGCGTCGGGCAGACACCCACCGCACGCCGCTTCCCCCCCGCATCGCCACCCCGCGCTGCCATCTGCGCCGCGGCTGGAGCACCCACAGACACCCATCGCCGCCGGCACTGGGAGCAGCCCCAAAC